TTACGGAAGGCTTTTCTGATTGGAAGCACCCGGAGTATGTTGGTGTACATGAAAACTCAAAATCGCATATAAGTTCTGTTTTAGCAATGAATGAAAGAGGTTGTAATTTGGGCCGAATCGATAAGAAATTAACTGATATGGTTGAGACTGAAATTAAATACTGRAGAAATGTGTTAATACGTGTTGTAGCTACAGTTAAAACATTATCTTCGCGTGGCCTTCCATTTCGCGGTTCATCAGATAAGTTTGGTTCCCCTCATAATGATAATTACATGATGGCGTTTGACCCATTTTTGTCAAGCCACATCGAAAAATTTGGAAATGTTGGGAAAGGGTATACATCATATCTCTCATTCYAAACGTGTCAAGAATTTATAACTATGATGGCTCACAAAGTTCAAAACYAAATTATTGATGAAGTAAAAAATGCGAAATATTATGCTATTATTATTGATTCTACGCCGGACATTTCCCATAATGATCAGCTTTCTATTATTCTTAGATATACATTAGATAGTGGAAAACCAGTAGAGCGTTTTATTGAATTTATCCCTAATACTGGCCACAAAGCACAAGACATGATTGATGCACTTATAAAAACATTTGATAAGCATGATATAGACATTAACAATTRCAGGGGTCAGTCATATGATAATGCTTCAAATATGTCCGGTGTTTACAATGGATTACAAGCAAAGATAAAACAACTAAATTCACTTGCATATATGTTCCCTGTTCAGCACATTCTCTAAATTTAGTTGGGGAATGTGCTGCAGTTTGCTGTAAAGAGGGAAGTAATTTTTTTTATTTCTTCAAAAACTGTATACATTTTTCTCTGCCTCAACGATACGTTGGAAATTACTCCAGGATGTATTTTTTCAATCAGATAATGTAAGTGTTAAACGACTATCTGACACTAGATGGTCTGCTCGCGCGGAAGCTTGTTCCAGCCTAATTAAAAATTGGAATGAAATTAWATTGGCTTTATCAAACATTCTAAAAAATGATATAGAAAARGAAGTCACAAAGAGCGAAGCTAGAGGACTTCTTAATCAAATGGATAGAATAGAAACTGCTTTTATGGTCGTGTTTTGGAACAAAGTCTTGGAACGTTTTAACGCTACAAATAAAGAACTTCAAACAGTGGAAATTGATATTGAATCTGTAGTTTGTTTGTATAATTCATTACACCAATATGTTAAAGAGATGAGAAATATGATTGATATATATGAAAAATTAGGTATAGAGAAGTCGGGCTTAACTTATTTGACTAATATACGAAGAAAAAAAAGGAAATTACAATATGACGAAAGTCCTGGAGAAGAAGTACATTTTGATAGTCGCGAATCATTAAAAGTGAACACTTACTTCGTAATTTTGGATAAACTTGATGCCGAATTGGAAAAAAGGAAAACCTCTGAATTGGATTTGAGTGCAAACGAACTTTGTAAAATATATAATAATGATTTAGGTGAACGTTTTTCTAATGAATGTCAACATTTCCATAACTATCTTTTAAGTATAGAACAAATTCCACGTATAGTATTGGAAATAAGTATGTTATTAAAGGAAAAGAATATAAGTGATCTATTTCCTTACATAGACATAGTTTAAAGAATTTTTTTATGCCTTCCAGCCTCAAACTGTTCTGCTGAAAGGTCCTTCTCGACACTAAAAAGAATTAAAAATTACTTGCGATCGAGACTAACAGAGGATCATTTAAACAGTTTTGCTATTCTCAACATCGAAAATGAAATCTGCAGAAAAATTGATTATGAAGATATAATTAATGAATTTGCTTGTGAAAAATCCYRCCGTAAAAWTTTTTAAGTACCTACATACTTCATTTTGTTGTACACATTTTGTAAATTTATCAATCAAATATTTCGGATATTTTTATTTTGAGTAATTGTTTTTTTATCTAATAAAGGATATTGTTGATGTCAAATGTATTATGTAACTGTATTTTTTGTTATAAATTGTACCTATACCTATATTTTAATAATTAATGCTGCAATATACTGATATTGCAGATGGGGGGTGGCAAAAATTATTAGCCCTGGGCTGAAAAAACTTGAAATACATCTCTGAATATAGGTACTTTTCGGTTATCGTACCCCCAACGGTCGACCGGCCAACTGTGGCGGCCGGTCGGGATATATACAGATTCCACCATCGTACCCCATTATATTTATCTCAATGCTTCCATCATAAAAATATTTTTTGTATATTTATTTAATAATTTATCATTTTATCAATAGTTTTTCGTCGATGTCTAAAATAACGTTGAATTAAAAATTATTTTAAATTTTGATCATTATATCAATATGTTTTTTTTTATTTTTTATTCTTCTAGAAAATAATGGGCCCTACTAAAATTAAACATAAAAACTAAAATAATCTAACTTAATATAAATAAATAATGTAATAATTGTATAAATTTGTTATGAGATAGTCGATATTGTGTTCATGGAGTAGCCAATGTGTAATTTTTTTTTTTAAATCTTTATAGAATTGCTTTGTTTAATTTCTAAGGGTCATAAATTGCAAATTTTTAGACGAATTAATAAGTMTAATATGGATTGTGTTAATTTTTTGTGCAGCATCAAGTTGGTACTTTGATATTCGATATTTTTCTAGTACTATATCAATGTTCAGTTTTAAAAGTAAGGTTATTTTTAATTATATTAAGTACCGATGCTTTGTACAATATTTTTTTACTGGTAGTACATTAATGTCATTGTATAAGTATTTTGTGTGGCTTGTTGACATTTTCCTAGAAACATGTCTTGAGTTGCTTATTAGATYAATTGTCGGGTTATTAGAGTATAGTTATAGTTATTTTTCCCTTTTTTATGTTATTTCTTTAAGCATATATTAGTTTYGGTTTATAATTCTTTACTTTTTTTTTAGATTGTTTTCAGACAAACATTGTGTTGTGGTCAGTTGAAATAGTTTGTCTTTAACCTAGCAACATCACATTTGTGCTTAGTAATTAACAAGTAATTAACTTTATTTACTTGTATGCTGTAGCAAAACCTGACCGAAAACTGTTTATATTATACTCTCATCTAGTTAAACTAAAAAAAGGATGTGTACAGTGCTTGAATTAGAAACAATAAAAAGGGGATGCAGAAATAYTGAAAAATGTGTTTACTTGAATATCACAGTTGCTTAAATATTAGGATATAATTAGGAAATGGATTGGTATGCTAAAATACTTTTGAGAATGAGTTCTCTGTCCACCTTCCCACAATTCAAGCACTGCATGTTTAAGAAAAATACCAAATGATTTAAATTTTTTTTTTAAAACAGCCGTGCCACCGCCACCGCCACTACGGTTGTCACCACCACCACCTCTGCGCCACAGCTCGCGTTGATACCGACCAGGACGTGGTTTTCTTCGCCGAATTAATTGCATGTCTTCGATGAGCTGTAACAATTTTATTGAAGAAAAGAATTACTGGCCAAGCCAGGGTTAAGTTTTGAGAAAAAAAAAGACCCGTGATGATCTCTTGTTAATATAACAATAAATAAATAAATACCTTAAATCTTACCAAGACCATATTTGGGTTTTGCCCATCAAAAGCATGGCCCCGGCCACGTCCACGTCCTAGACGATTGCTGCGGCTTCCACCTCGGCCACCACCGCAGCCACCCCTTGGTGGCTCTGAATCAGACCATCTACTGCTGATGGTGGAGGCAGTTTCAGACCACCCGTCAATTGGGGTCTGAGACCGCTGCCTGTGGCTGTGGGACCGACTTTCCTGAGGCGGCGACCGTGACCGACTAGGCGGCTCTTGTGTCATCGTTGGTGTCTCTGGCATTGTTTTGCTCATGATTATTTAATTTTAAAAAGTGCATATTATATTATATCCAAATCAATAGAGTAGGGCTATTATTTAGATAGGTATTTTGAATAATTATAGGTATACATTAGWCTTTAAGTATAGTTTTAGCATTTTATATTTATGTTCTTTGCTGATTTTTAAAATGTTTATGTTAAATAAGTATATTTAAATATTTAAGTCTGGTTACACTACTGAGTGCTTTTCCAATCTGCCAGTCTTACTATGTATATTGTAAATTGAAATATTACCTATTTTATATTCTTAATTTTATTCTATTTCTTATTCTCAAACACAAGACTTTGGC